CGTTTTCACCAACACAATGTTTCTTCAGTTCGAGCATGGACAAAGCACAGAGGTTGCGAAGTGTCAGAAATGATGGATAACACAACATCCGCAACCTTATTTGGATAAGTGCAGCGATTTTTAGCAGATAGGGATAGGAAGGGGAGGATAGGAGGATGGAAAGTCGGGGAGCCCCAACTATTTTCGAAATCTAACCGGTGATTTACCACTTCAAAAATATTATCATTACTACTTAAAAACCAATCATTTTTTTTTGATTTTTGATAAAACATTTTTTCAACTCTATGACCAGTGCTTTGGTCCACAAAATCCTTCGAAGGGGATGGGGCAATTAGGAAAATTTGGAAAGCTTCTCAGATTTTCCGCAAATCTCTAAGTCTGAAACTCACAGAGAGGGACCAATTTTAACTTTCAGAAAAATCTCTGATTATTCGCATGTTGTGGATGCGCATAATTTTGGAAGCCCTTTTGGAGATTAGAAAATAACAAGAATCCAAAAAAGTTTGAAAAATATCTCCTGGAATTTTATTCAGAATTCAATTCAATTTTTTCAATCAAACTCAAATTTTGCAGGAGTTTTTGAGGCGGAACTTTCTTCTTAAAAAGACATTAAAATCATAATCTACTTATGATGTAGTTTCGATTTTTACGTATAAAACTGGCCAAACCTGGCCTCTACTGAGTAACTTCCTATGTTGCTAAAAGAAAACTGAGTTTGACAAGGTGCTAGAAAGGAGAAAAGATACTCATAATTTATTCGGACACTGCATGCAACTTGTGTTTCTGAGTAGAAAAATGTTGCTCACACAACTTCCAAGGAAGTTCGAAGTTCTATTTCGCCAGCAAAGGGTAAAACTGCTGTTGTGACAACTTATTGCGTAACTTTTCCAACAATCAAGTTTCCAATTTTTCATAGATTATTGCCAACTAACTCAAAATAAAACATTTAAAACTATAAACCATTGTTTGAAACTTGAGATTGATGAATTTATATCAAACTCATTGAAATTCTGGTCTTGACCAAACTTGTTCTTGCCTTTCTCTTCCATCACTCATAAAAAGGTCATATTTATTTCATTTATTTTGTAACAACACTTGAACAACGTACTTCTTGATAAATACATAGTCGGCATCGTAAAATCGGATTATAATGAGAACTTTAGGTCCCTTCAAACCTCTATCTCAGCGGATATTAATTATTGTAAGCTTTCGATCCTTCTAAGGCTAATTTCGGGCAAAGATATTTGATGAGCGCTTAGGAGTTACGCAAATGGGGTTAATGGGATCATAAAGCCTAATTCAAACCTCAAGCACCTTTGCTCCCACTAAATTCATTCCTTTTATGATCTTTTTCGGTTATAGACCCTCCAAACTTTTCACCGACTGTTTAATGAGCATACTGATGATTAGACCATAGTAGTTTTGACGGTTGAAACTGTAGCGTTCCTGCGTTTCGCCGGCAACATTTACGCGCAAATAATAGCAGTTTGCGCTTTATGGTCATTGTCCACGCGCGCAAGTCGCAGGCGAATTCTCGGCATAACCATGGCGACTGTTTTCGCGCAAGTGTTGTCATTACCGTAGGCGCACTGTAATAAACCCAAAAATCTAGCAGGCTGTAGATTTAGTGCAATAGAGGCAAAGACTGATGATGATTACGAGATGTGATGATGATGAGACAATCGCCGTGGGAATTGACGGCTTTTTCCCTGCAACGGTCGTAAACCTTAGCACAGTCGACGTCCGTTCTCAAGGTCTTCTGAATTCATGCCGATCGCGCCGCTTCTTGCGGGAACTGTGGTCTGTGATTTGACGTAAAATGGCGTAGAATGGCTGAATGTGTATTGAAATGTCGTACGTCTCGACTAGTATTTGAGGGTTTTGGGGCTTGTCAGATGTTGATCTCGATAAGGGACGCGCACGACCCGATGGACATACAAATGTTCTGCAAAAGTGACACTTGCGGGAGATTCTTGGAAACTTCGTAATAGCAAAGGCCACTTTCTATTGTTGGTAAGAAAGTTCTCGGACATTGCATTTATACAAAGATAATGTTTCGATGCAAGCACCAAATAGGGCATGCTGTACATCATTGGATAGAGAAAAGCAAACACTTCAAGACCATACTAGTCACAACCATGACTAATAAATCCTGTGAAAATAGAGGCGAAAATACGAAGACATAGGATTTCGACAGAGCTCAGAACTCCACCTGCCGTAAACACTGTAACACTCACAAGTATTTCAATATGTAGTAGACATGAACTCACATGCATTTAGCAAGGTCTGTATGGAATTTGAGCTTAATTAGCATGAAAAATGAGAAAATCGAAAAGTGACAAACTCCGCCCCTATTGACCCTAAGCTCCTCCCACCTGCATAGGTATAAGCCGTGAGAGTGCAACTACAAATTTTCGCATTCATAAATGCATTACAACCCGAGAAATAGCAATTTCCGGGTGAAAATGTCCGAAAACTTTCTTACCAACCTAATACAACACTTGTAATACTTAGAAATCCCACTTTGGAAATACATTTATTTTTTCTATGTATAAAGTGAATTGCAGGAAACGTTAGCTGACTTATGGTTGTCAAAACCGCGCTAGTTTTCTTCCTTGCGATTGTTTTGACTATGTTTTTGATATTGAATTATTCAAGACTACATATTAAGTTATTTGGAAAGTTATAACATGCAAGGGATATGTGTAAGTGGTTACAAATTACCCTATATTTTCCTTTGTCTTAATGATCAACAGTAGTCGCAAGAATCTAGTTAGTGGCATCGAAAGGAACAATTTATTATCTTTATGACTAAGGCATTCGCATCATAACCTGCTGTTGTAGTCGAAAAGTCGAATAGAACAAGATGCAAATACTTCTGCTTCATCTTTTTATCTTAATTATATTGGAACATGATTCTCCGTCAACTTCTATTTGTCTTTTACATGTAAGCATCTTGCTCGTAAGCCTCAGAATGTAGCCTAAGAAACTCTGATATCGATAGAGCCAGTCGCGCTTAACAGAGATAATTCGGGGGGGGGGGGGGGGGAGGGGGAAGGAGACAAAATTCTTCTGCAAGATGGAGTGTGGCTAGCTTCTCGATTACTTCGGCAAGCTTATAACTCAAAATAAGTGGAAGGTAGCGGTATCGATTCTCTATTTTTTTACGAATGTACCATTATAAGATATCTACAAATGATTTAGCACGCGCGTAAATTCATAATCTAGGTGAACCACTTTTGAAAATCTTGGCAGCAAATTTATTCGGTCACTTACTGCTGGATTCTCTGTTCAATTCTCAGCGACAATACAACAGAGAAGGTGATATAATCGAGATTCTAACGATTGTAAGAAGGAATTGTTTGTTCTTCTCAAATGATAAGCGTTCTATAAATTTTTATCTTCGCATAGGTATGTAATGTAAACTCGATTCCCACTTTTTTGATACATCAAGTTAGATCCCTCATGATAAGACAGCAAACATAATATCATCATAAGTACTCTAGGCAGGCTTCACCAACTCTAAATCACTTTCCGTTTGAGCTTGGAAAATTTGTTAATTATACATCTATAAGTTGTATGAAAAAAGCATTATACGACAATTTTGCTGCAATCCGTATCTACTATTTCAAAAAAATGCCTACCTTATCTTAGAGCTTCTGTGTGTAGCTTTTTGATGCCCCATCACAAATTGGAATAATTATGCTGTGTGTCCACAAACTATGATGACAACTCAAATCTGCACGTTTCTTATTAGATCAAAAAGAATATAAGCAGGGCTCGGCACAGGTGGCTTGTAAGCAAGAGCTGGATATCGTTTTTGGGTCAAAAAGCAAAGGGGTTTCGTTTTTAAGACCGGAAAGAGACAAGAGTTGCGACGTTTTTTTTGTCGACGTTTCGTTTTTTGGAGATTTTTCAGGGATTATGGTAGAGGGTCAAAGGGACATCGTAAAAATACGCAAAAATAAAGGGGATTTCGTTTTTTTTGCATTTTCAACTAGTCACCTCTTGCCAAGCCCTGATATTAAGAAGGTTACTGAGAGAATTTGGTCACGTTTGAAAAGTCTTTCCTTCCTCCTTCATTCCGCATACAACGTTCTGCTCATCTATCGAAAATTAATTCCAAAATGGCCACTTTGAGAGGAGATATCGTCCGAGTTCGACGAAAAGAAAAGAGAAATACGACATTGCTTTTAATTCGACATCTGGCTGCTCGTCTCCGAAGCAGCTATATGTTTGAAATAGAGAACAGACGGTTTCAATAACAACCTACCCATTGTCCTAGCTGGACACCTAAGGAAGCTATGGAATTTTTTCTGAAAACTTGTGAACCTCCAGAAATCGTCTGCATCTCCCCCCGGAACCAGGACAAACCATATATTTTCTGAGAAATGAGAATGTACCGATTCCGAAGACGATCTTTTCTTTGTCTCCTAGCGGCTCATTTACCAAAATCAAGATTTTTCATTTGGATTGATAATTTGTGGACACATGGTATTACCAGTATATTTGTGTACGCATACTCGTTTAGTACGATGGCTTTGATTCAAAGTTAAAATGATTGCAGTTGTCCAAAGCATGGCCTCATCACATGCCTTTGTCAAGTATTAGTCCATTTTTGTTTTGCGATACTCATGAGTAATGATGAGAAATTACGTCATCCAAAATTCTAGCATGTTTCCTTTCATTATTTTTCTAAAGTTATGCGATTCTGCAAGTCTTTTTTACGTTCGGGAAGAAAAGTTCTAATTTTTTAATATTGCGGTTTTCTGATAGTGCATTCAAATACTGCGGATAAGCATATAAATTGTCGAAGAACATCGTTTAATGTGTTTTCTTCCATCCATTTTAGTCGAATTAGAAACAATAAATCCAATCACATTTTGCATAAAAAGATTGCTTTACAAAATTTTCCCAAAAATTATTCTGCACTAAACAAGAAGCAGAGCATTCTTTAAAGTGACAACTTTAGCTGGTAAGCAGAGAAGATTACGGTAGTAATGCCAGGTACGCGATGTACGGTGACATCCTTCTCACGCTTTCAATTTCAATAACCTTATTCCCTTTGATTAAGCATTGTACCACACACACAGCGCCGTTGCTTATTGTCGTGAAGGAAATGTCGCCATGAATCACTCGCAAAACTTAGAATGGACGCGCAAGTAGATGGAAATTCTCGTCTTAGACGGATTAGTCTCTTGGGATTCTCTAGCCGTAAAACTTTGAGTATCAAGTAGTGGAAGCTCTTTTTAGGGTATATACAAACGCTCGTAAAAAAAGTTTTTCTTGAAATGTCGCGAGAAAAAGTTTCTTGTTTCTTAGGCTTACGATAATAGATTTGGTGAAACGTTCCCCAACAGCACAGCAAGCGATGCAATTTGCAATCGGATATTTTTCAAACTTTTTCCCATCCATGAAATCTCTCATTTTCACCAAGATCGCATCGAGAATCTGCGCTTTTTTCCTGGCGTTTGCGCGAAAACGTGGCAGCTGATGGATTATTGCTTGAAGCGAAATAGTGCTGCGTGAAGCATCACCTTTTCAATGGCTTTTGCGGACTCCAAGAGAGGGATTGGGGAAAGAATGAAATGTTTCCGGAGTTTTACTGCAAAGGCATCTTTCACCGAAAAGGTGTGGAAAAATATGCTGCTTATTCAATACAAATTAGATACATTAGACAGAAAGTGTGTCCAAGTGGATTTTATTCGAACCTTAAATCTATCCCAAACAAAGGCTGTAGTATCACTAAAATTTGATAAAAATGATTCAAATCGATTCTTCAGGGCAAATTTCGAAGGAATCATATAAAGCGCCTTTGAATGCGATGCGTACTGTAAGCATCTTTACTTGGTGGAATGTACCGCAGACCGTCGCTTCTGCACCTGTGTTATCAGTGGGCGGAGTGAGCCAATAGGGCGGAGAGATCAATTTCGAAGGACGTTTTGGTTTTGCTCTTCGGATGTTTGCGCTAGCTTTGGGACCCGTCATACTTCGCCGAAAAAAGCTCAAAAAAGCCCGAAAAAGCCAAAAATTCCCAAAAAAGCCCGAAGGCACCAGAAAGAGCCGGAACACTTCTCGCATGTTTTGGCGTTATGGCATCTGTGTTGATCTCGCAGCCGAGTCTTTTTGGTTCATTTTCTGTCGTCTGCACAACAGAATAATGCCAGAATTCTATCAAAAGTTCGTTTCTTCATTCCGGCTCTTTCTGGCGCTTTAGGGCTTTTTCGGAAACCTAACATCGCATCTTATCAGGGTAACAGAACCCACAATTTTGCTCTCGCAAACTATATCTAATGCGTGAAGTTTACACGTCCAGCTAACCGTTCTGAATAGTGAAAGCGTACTTAGAAAGCATATGGTAAATCAAAGGGCTAAAGAGAAATCTGATTTTTGTAATCACTACGATAATGACAGGGCTCGGCACAGGTGGCTTATGAGCAAGCCGGATGTCATTTTTGTGACAAAAAGCAAAGGAGGTTTGTTCTTTTTGGCCGAAAAGACACAAAATTTGCAACGTTTTTTAGTCGACGTTTCGTTTTTTGGAGATTTTCTAGGGATTATGGGCTAGGTTCAAAGGGGACTTTGTAAAAATTGCAAAAGTCAAGGAGGACTTCGTTTTTTGCTCTTCAGTTTTCCCCATACTGATGTCTCCGAAGAGTAGAGGATAGGTTGGCTCAGGTCCAAAATTCGCATCTTGCTCCACCAGCGGTAGCAGCTCCTCATAACTGCGCCACACTTCCACATTTTTTTTATTGGAAACCAGTTGATAATCAGTGATAGATAAAGGAAGTGCAGGTGAGGGAGAATCACACCTTTCTTTTCCCAAGAAATCTTAAGCTCAGAACACAAACTTCCTTGAAAACCAGTTTATATAGGCTATCCGCGCAGGGCGCGGAGAGTGCGCAAGGTGTTATTGTGCGTTACTCCTCTTTCCTCGTGCACTCTCGCCGCCTGTTTTTCTCTGCGCTTCTTCCAGTCGTGAACTGCCTTCAATGTACGCAACAGCGTTGCTCTCCGTGCGCAGCGCGGACGGCATATAGCTGCTGGAGTATATGCATGTTCTTAGTCGCTCGCGAAAAGATACCAATCAAAATGCCGACTATTCCAGTCCATTTATTCCAGAACCTTATGCACATATCTCACGCTCAGAACTAAGTTTTAAGAAATTTTTTTCAGATGGAGAAACTGAGGTTGATCTGCTCGTTCCCGTCGAGAGTGCTCTCAACAGTGATCCGAGAGTATTTCGGGCGAAAGGCATTGATAGCTTACCCGCTATCGGTATTCAGGTAATCACAAAAAACTCTAGAGAAAAGGCAGTTCTTCGTTTTATTTTTGTTTTGTTTCATTTTTTTCTGCTCGGTATTTGTAAATAAAATTCAATCATTTGATTATCCAAGAAAGGGTTGTCAAATGTTATTTTCAGCGAGGTGTTGAGATCGCCGTTCCATATCGGTTATACTTACCGCGGCGATTTTTCCCGCAATTTTCGGTGCTTGCATCGGTAAAGCCGATGGATCGACGTGGCGGGTATCTGTTCGCCGTTGTCAACCCGTACGATACGATGGTTGATGTTGGCGTTCTTCTAGAGCCAGCTGGTAATATGCCTTTCCCAAATATGGCTGATTCAAAAACTCTGAAAAGCTTATTCCAGGATCTGGCCAAACAAACATCTCGTTGATCTATTCATCTCGACGTGATACGACGTCAAAAGCAATCGCATCATTCATCGTCCCAGAGTTCGTTCAACAATGGACACAGATTGCTTTTGAAGTCAATAAGGATTCGGTCACTTTCTATTTCAAATGTGTACGATTCGCAGAGCGGGAGGTGAGTATCACAACTTGTAGAAAGGCTTTGACCATACATTACCAGCGTTACCCGTGTTACCAGTGTTACCATTTTACCCGTGTTTCTGGTGTAATCGCGTTACCGGTGTTACTAGTGTCACAGTGTTACCAGTGTTACCCGCGTTACTAGTGTCACTCGTGTTACTATGTAGTGTTTCATTTCATTTTCTTCATTCACTGTTCAACATCAATAAAAGCAGTAACACTAGTACACTGGCCACGCAATTAACACTCGTACACGGGTAACACTGGTAACAGCAGTAACACGGGTAACAATGGTATGGTATGGTCAAAGCCAAAGAGAAGAATTATGTCTATCCCAAGTCCGCTATCATTCTGATCTTCTTCAAAAGAACGTTCAAGATGTCAGAACCGCCAATAACCTTGAGAGGAGAGCACACCCTGCATGCTACAAAAATATATGCTACAAAAGAGCTCACATTGATGTTTTTGAGGAGAGCAAAGAATTTGTCTGTATTGGCCTCCCACAAAAATGTAAGACGGAAAAACTACATGTCGGATCACTGTATTGCATGGTCGGATCACTGTACTGCATGGCAATGTTGTAATTTACAATTAGGGCCGCCTGCAAAAAATCCCCAGCCGGGGAGGGGATCGCAGTTACAAAGAAAGCTTCATATCCTAAAGCTCTGAATATGTGGATTTCTCATCGTCTGCCTATCCGTAATATTCCCACCGTCCTTCACTATAAACATATCAAGCGAGAGCAAAAACCTGTACAACCTTTTTCCAGCTTTTTGTATGATCTCCTGATGATTCCCGCATCCGAAGAATTTTCTTCAAAGTTATTTTCTTGTCAAAGTTAACCAAAAACCATCCTGTACTGATTGATTAACCCGACAATTCTTTGCATGTTGCTGATAAGAACAAATGAGTTTTTGGAATATAGATTTTTCGATAGACCCCAACTTTCGACTTGTGGTTCATCGCAAATTTCATGACTTCGAAACATCACTTATTTTTACCACAAACATGATTAGCACTATTGAGTTAGATAAACAACGGTGCTAATCATGTTTTTGGTAAGAACAGATGTTTCAAAGTCGTGAACATTGCGATGAATCGCCACCTTTGGAATGCTTTTATTGATTTTGAAAAAAGAAAATGACTTTAAAGGACGGCAGCCAGGAATGATTATGGGATCAAACAAATAGCTGAAAAATGCGGCTTGTGCAGCTTCTCGCTCCTATTCAATATGTTCATAGTGAAGTATGGTGCGAATACCGATAGGTAGATAGCGTGAGATCCACATATCTGGAGCTTCAGGATATGAAGCTTTCTTTTGAACTGCGATCGCCCTCCCCCTTCCCCCCCCCCCCCATGTGAATGTTATGCATGCGGCCCTAAGTTGGGCTAGCAATTTAAACGAAAATAAATGTCATGCTCCTTTTTTCCCCTCCTTAGACGATAAATTTCGTATCTGGGCCCTTTGATGAATCCATGAATGGAGAGAATGGGTTTAGAATGACGAATATTTTGGGAAATTGCTCTCTCTCCTTACTTTCTTAAGGGTCAGGCATACTTCACGCGATTCCAGTCGCGACGCGATTTGGCAATATTTCAAATGTCTATAAACTCATTGTAAGCACATTTTAAATGTATAGAAGATAGGGCATTTTATCCATTCACGTAAATTATACACACTATGCATGTACAGTTTGCTAGTGCTAGATCTGAAGACTTCTGGCGAATTGCCAAACGCGTCGCGACTGAGAGCGTGAAGTATGCGCGGCCCTTTAATTCTCATCTTTCTGTTGAAGATTTTTCTGAATTGTTTGAAGAATAAACTAATTCTTTGACCAATGCAGATAAATTGAAATAGATCTCCATTTCGGCGCTTAGATTGAATTGTTGACAGTTGTGCGCTTTTAATTTCTAAAAGAAATTGTACTTCCGACCCCCTCGAACTTCTTATACTTTCGACCCCCTCAAACTTCAATCAGGTCCAGTTCTAATGATAGTGTGGCTATCTTCTGAACGAAAACATTCAAGCTCATTCACGCCCACAAAAGAAGAAAATGGATTAGCATTGACTGCACTCGGCTTGAGTAGCACACTTCATCAATATTGGCAATCACTAAATGTTAGTAAAACCAACAAGAAGATGTATGCTCAGTAATCTTATCGCAACAGAAGCAAGGGCGAGTGCAGAATCGGCGAAATTTATCTCTGCTGATCAAGACTGATTAGTTGCTTTGACCATTTGATAAAAAAGAATTTACGATTCGTCTGGTTCAGGCAACAGTTGAAGGAATGAGTTCTTCGAACAGATTTGCAGATATGTTTGCTTTTTTCTAAAATAATCAATTAGTGTCACTGAGTTTTCTCACTCAAATTTTATCCAAAGTTCTTTTTAAGTTCTTTTTGGCTTCCCATCTTTCGTATCGTCGAAAAGCTCCGAAACAACGCGCATGATAGATTACAAATGCAAAAGTGCTCTCGTTTTCAATTTTATCTAGATTCTCGATCAGGACCCCAAATCAACAAAGTGTAAATTTAACGGCACCATGGGCCAATTTAAACAAAAGCTTAAGATCTGATGATGACAGATAACCACGTAGACTGACTAGGCCGAGTTCGCTCTCTGTCATGACATATAAGCAAATTCAATGTAAACCAAAGTTATTTCAAGGCCTGTAGAATGAAATCTGGCCGTGGCTTTTGATGGGATCTCTATGGTCTTAACCGTAGAAAATTTTCGGAAAGCATTTTGTTCAGTACCAACAGAGATTGGCTTCTAGTCAAAAGTAGCGGGAAAGGATAACCTTTTGAAAATTTTGAAGAGGGTCTAAGTAACGTAGCAATTTTATTCTATTATAATACCCATGATATTCCAAAGTCTGGCCGTTTAACGCCAATTTTTTACGGGATGTTGTAAAAGCTCAAGGCTAGATCATCCCGCCTACCCTTCCTAAGTAGCCTACCCTAGTAAGAGAGAACCGTAGCGTACAAGCAAAGGGAGTCTCCATAACACCTCCGAAAACATTATCATGATTTTCATCAGTCACCTTGCTAATGGAACAAAATACAAATCGCAGTAGAACTTCTGAAGAAATTATTTGCAGTTTCCCTCCAATGAAGCTTAAGAGGAAACCAGATATTTAGAACTCGCGAACCTTGCACAGCGTTCAAAATATTTGATCATATCATGAATATGATCGATAAATATCAAGACTATCTCGGTGTTTCATCAAAACGATTTTTTAGAGTGACCTCGGTACCTACAATCTGTCTTAGAGTATAACTGTGTTATAATGAACCTCCAGTGCTTTTCCTATAGCTTTTGCGATTTCACAAAATCATTAATCATGATTTTTTCCGTACTTTTCTGAAATCGATACGTCGTCTATGAACAAATCAAAGAAAAAAATGACTGGTTATTTCTCCCCATTCCCTCTTTACTTCTTTCTTATACGCGATTATCTCTGGAGGCTTAGACGGTAGAACATCTGAACAAAGAGTATATACCACCAGAGTTTATTTTATTTATTTACTAGCTGGCTTACCCGGCTCCGCCGTATCCGGACCAAACTTGGCACACATACACTTCGGGCCCCGGCGCGTGTCACAGTCCACTTTTCGTTATCGATCGATGTCGATCTTACCGATTTTTATCGATTTTTTCGCAGAGTTCACCTACAGGGCTAGGAGTTGGCACAGGGGGGAAGTGAGCATGGGGATTCCGAATACAATATTAGTTTTCAGAATTATCGGTTACTTTTATTGATTTTATCGATTTTTTGTAAATTTTGACATGCGAGGCTGGGATTTTGCACAGGGGGGTAATCGAACATGCTGATTACGAACACAATATTAGTTTTCAGGATCGTCCATTACTTTTATCGATTTTATCAATTTTTTTGTAAAGTTTGACCTGCGGGGCTGGGAGTTTGCACAGGGGGGTAATCGAGCATGCAGATTACGAATACAATAATAGTTTTTGGAATTATCCATTACTTCTATCGATTTTATCGATTTTGCAAAATTTGAGCTAGGGGGCTGGAATTTGGCACAGGGGTGTAATCGAGCATGCTGATCACCCCCTTGGGGATGATCAGCATGCTCGATTACCCCCCTGTGCCAACTCCCAGCCCCCTAGCTCAAACTTTGCAAAAAATCGATAAAATCGATAAAAGTAATCGATAATCCCGAAAACCAATATTGTATTCGGAATCCCCATGCTCGATTACCCCCCTGCGCGAACTCCCAACCCCGTAGCTCAAACTTTGCAAAAAAATCGATAAAATCGATAAAAGTAATCGATAATCCTGAAAACCAACATCGTATTCGGAATCCCCATGCTCGATTACCCCCTGTGCGAACTCCCAGCCCCGTAGCTCAAACTTTGCAAAAAAATCGATAAAATCGATAAAAGTAATCGATAATCCTGAAAACCAATATTGTATTCGGAATCCCCATGCTCGATTACCCCCCTGTGCCAACTCCCAGCCCCGTAGGTGAACTCAGCAAAAAAATCGATAAAAATCGATAAAATCGATATCGATCGATGACGAAAAGTAGCCTATGACACCCGCCGGGGCCCGTAGTGTATGTGTGCCAAGTTTGGTCCGGATCGGTTCAGAAATGGAATTTTCTATTCGGAACATACGTACATACATACATACATACATACAGACAGACATACAGACAGACATACAGACAGACATACAAACAGACATTCAGCTTTATATATAAGATTTATTTATGTCTCTCGATTTTGGCTATCTCGTTACTTTGTAAATAAGACTAGGGTGCCGCCTTAACTGAAGCACATGTTGGTTGCAAGCTTCAGTCTTAAATAAGCTATAATTGAACCGATAGCAATTTTTCTTCTATTGTACTTATTTGGACAGAAGACCAGAGAGAAGAAGACGCTAATGTTTACATTTTTGTTGCTTTTAAAAAATATGCGTGCGTACTGCATATCACTCTTGGCCATTACAATTTCAGATAAATGACTTACCGCAATTAACTATGGAAGACGCCCACAAACTCTACATTGGAAGCGCTGGCCCAGTCTTAGGATCCGGATTTGAGGTTTCATTTCTATCCTTTTTTCAGATGGTTTGAAGGACGGGATTGTGGCCTCATCACGATGGAGAATTCGTAAGCAGAATGACCCTGAAAAATTTAGTTAAGGCCACCCAAGTAGTTTGTTTGCCCATAGAAAACCAAGAAAGAATCCAGAAAGAAATAAAAAGCCGAGGCTGTCTCAGTATGATCGATGCCTCCAGACTGCGAAGTAATTTTTCTGGGAAGTTTTCTAAGCCATTGCCAATCTTCACAGCGTTTCTGTGTTCAAGCTAGCTTTTTACGATATTCGTTGGGTATTCTGCACTTCACTCATTGCGCCGAATATACATATGGGCTTCCGATTTACTTTTTGTTTGAGTAGCTACATCTCATATAATAATGACTACACTATTCTTTTCTTGGCTGCTTTCCTTCAATCTTTGAGCCATATACTTCACATTTTCTCTATTTTTCCCAAAATTCTGCAAGAAAGAACGAAAACCTGGACCTATAGTCGTTCTCATAGTATCACATAAGTACATTCTCTTCTGATTTGACAAAAACCCAGCCGAAGCACCATTTTCCCACATAAGAAGAGATGGCAAAGCAAATCAACCATCCATAACACTGTTATAGAACAGTACAATCTTTCCACACTCTTTCACTTTGCAAGTTATCCCTATTTGTACACTTTCTTCGTTCCGATGTTGCATCTTGATCTTATTTCTAGTGATTCAGCCAATTATCTACTGTTTATTAGCTATATCTAGAACATTCTGACAGTTGCAATGCAGTCGAACGTACTACTTTATGTTCATCTTCATGATCTTCTAGTTTTTCTCTGACAAAAGAGCCAATAAGGAAACAAACATGTTTTTTTTTAGTTTGATGCAAGGCAATTTTGTGGGAGATGGTCTCAGTTGCTCCAGCAATGCACAGAAAGAATAATTTAACCTAATTTAGTCACTTACCCAATGAACACTAGTCACATCGATTCTAGGAGATAATTTATGAAACCGGCTCAAATTATATTATTAAAACTTACCAAATTACCAAATGTCCCAAACTCTTTTTGAGTCACTATATAGCACCACCAAACATAACGTTTCAAATTCAGATAGCCATATTATCTTTGCTTGGAATATGCATATGATAGCACAGAAACAAAAATAGCTCTAGCTGTACGTTTGTAGCTTTTATTTTGAATATTCTCCACTACGCGACAAAAGTGCAAAACTTTAGCGCTTTGCTATACAAACTAAAATTATCAGCGCACGAATATTAAATTTAAAGCAGAGTCATAGGCTCCGTTTCAATTGACGCGCAAAATCTCACATAAAAATTGGCCAACAATAAAGTTCAGATGAAAATTGGTGCAACGGTTAAAGAGAACATATAGCTGCTAAAAACCTCAAACATCTACATTGGGGCAATATTCGAGTATAGGACATTTATAAAATCGTGACAAAGGTTCGGTTGCGGTCTTTGCGCCCACCGAGCATAAAAGACTCACACAGAAAGGCATCCCTCAGCCCTCAGGTCAGTCACTTCCAGTGTCGAGATACTGTTATGCGTAAGCAGAAATACCATGCGAGTAGATATGAAAAAGAAAATGCGGTTGCCAGAAGTGGCGCGCGAGTCGCTCGCGGTCACGCCATCGTCACGATTTTTCGAATGCCCTATAGCTTGCTTTTATGACCCATCTTCATGTGTAAAATTACTATTGCCTGTTCGATTACAGTACCTCTCTATTTTGCCAAAATCACAGCGGGGTAAATTTATTTTTGATCTTTACTTGACCTTTAAGTTACTAGTGATGTTTTTGCCGTTACTGTATGACCTTACTGCTTGCGAGTACACTTCCTCAGCAATCAACATTTTGCTCTCGCTTAATTTGTCCATGAATTTGCTTGTATCTAATCACGGCCTATCGCAAAAACCGTCGAATCGTTCTAATAGCACACTTAGGTGCAGCAAAAACGTGAGCCTTATTTACTCAAAGTCAGTTTCCGGGCGACGATTCTAACTGTTGATAGAACGCTATAAAGAGAACGTTTATGTGCAAGTTCAAATAAATTTTGTTGTAGTTATTAAGATGGCTCATTGAACGTTTCAATAAAACCTGGAAGCGTTGTAAATGTAGTCTCTGATTTCTAAAGCGCAAACAACTAGATACTTCTACAAACTCTGAGCAAAGAAGGGTAAATGAATCTGGGAAACTGTTTTTCTTATATGGAAACTATGCAGGGTGTCCCAAAAATGTACCTACTGTTTGTTTGTTGACCGTTATCCTGTCATGAGGTCTTTCGAGAAGCTTTGTGTATCATTTTATAAGTATGAAGCAAAGCACTGATCGTTCATTCCTACTGTAAGATTACGGTAGGAACTTCGGTATTTTCGTCCTTGTCTAACTCATTGTGGGTTAAAACTCGCATGAAATGCACGAGAATTCCGTTTTTTCTATATAGCGCCACTGTGAAATTGGCGTTCGAAAAAAAAATTCCAAAATAATCTAAAAATTGTCTTA